ATAGAGAAACTAAAAGCATGATAATAATAATAATAATAATAATAATAATAATAATAATCAGACAGCAACACAAGCGGGTATAAGCATGGCCATGGAGCAGCAGCACGCTCACCCAACACTGTACACAGCACACAGTGGCGACCCCTGCTGGCCAGAGCTTACACCTGCACTCATGACCGACTGCAGCCCTCAGCACTTTCACAAACAGCTCACTGATGATCTAAACATGTATTAAACTGATCCCAGATCAGGTGGAGCCCAGTTTACTGAGAGGATCTAATAGTGAACCACTGAAACCTCCTAATATGCCGATCAGCGCTGCTCTAGGTCTTGTTCACTGGGATCTTGAACTCTGGCTGATTGGGGCTGCGGTTCATTATTGATGCACACACACACACACACACACACACACACACACACACACACACACACACACACACCCTGAATATCTGCATACACTAATGCCACAGCAGGTCAGGATAATACACCCATCTTTATATTCATGAGCATAAACTCTGCTGTAAACACATGACAGTGGAGAATCCCAACAGGGCAGCAGGAACATTCTGTAAACGCTGCTGTATTCACTAATGCTTCATGCCATCCTCCAGCTGTGCACATCAGTGTAGTGAACACTGCTGACCTGATCACTGCTGCTCTTCTCCTCAGATCCACTAGAGGACGCCGTCAGCTCCTCTCAGTCCATCACCAACTCCGCAGCAGAACTCCTGAAGCAGGGAGCAGGTGCGTCTCCACTCACACTAACCTAAGTGTCCGCTCCCGCCTGTCTGCTCCTGTTCTGAGGTCAGTTGTGTGTTCTCCAGCCTGTAACGTCTGGTTCCTGGGCTCGGTGGAGATGGAGTCTCTGACGGGGGATCAGGCTATACAGAAGGCCAGCGCCGAGATCCTGAGCGCAGACTCACTCCCGGCCTGCACACTCGTACACTTCAAAGTGTCCTCGCAGGGAATCACACTGACCGACAACCAGAGAAAGTACAGCACCTTCCCACAATGCACCACTGCCGCACACAGATCCTGCTCACTTCACTAGCGCACACTGTTAGCTTCACAGGCTAACCCACACTACACGAGTTCACCTGTTGACTAGCTAGTGGATGAGTTCACCTGTTGACTAGATAGTGGATGAGTTCACCTGTTGACTAGCTAGTGGATGAGTTCACCTGTTGACTAGCTAGTGGATGAGTTCACCTGTTGACTAGCTAGTGGATGAGTTCACCTGTTGACTAGATAGTGGATGAGTTCAAATGTTGACTAGCTAGTGGATGAGTTCACCTGTTGACTAGCTAGTGGATGAGTTCACCTGTTGACTAGATAGTGGATGAGTTCACCTATTGACTAGATAGTGGATGAGTTCACCTGTTGACTAGCTAGTGGATGAGTTCACCTGTTGACTAGATAGTGGATGAGTTCACCTGTTGACTAGCTAGTGGATGAGTTCACCTGTTGACTAGCTAGTGGATGAGTTCACCTGTTGACTAGATAGTGGATGAGTTCACCTGTTGACTAGCTAGTGGATGAGTTCACTTGTTGACTAGATAGTGGATGAGTTCACCTGTTGACTAGCTAGTGGATGAGTTCACTTGTTGACTAGATAGTGGATGAGCTCTCCTGTTGACTAGATAGTGGATGAGCTCTCCTGTTGACTAGATAGTGGATGAGTTCACCTGTTGACTAGCTAGTGGATGAGTTCACCTGTTGACTAGCTAGTGGATTAGTTCACCTGTTGACTAGATAGTGGATGAGCTCTCCTGTTGACTAGCTAGTGGATGAGTTCACCTGTTGACTTGCTAGTGGATGAGTTCACCTGTTGACTAGATAGTGGATGAGTTCACCTGTTGACTAGATAGTGGATGAGTTCACCTGTTGACTTGCTAGTGGATGAGTTCACCTGTTGACTAGCTAGTGGATGAGTTCACTTGTTGACTAGATAGTGGATGAGTTCACCTGTTGACTAGCTAGTGGATGAGTTCACTTGTTGACTAGATAGTGGATGAGTTCACCTGTTGACTAGATAGTGGATGAGTTCACCTGTTGACTAGATAGTGGATGAGTTCACCTGTTGACTAGCTAGTGGATGAGTTCACCTGTTGACTAGCTAGTGGATTAGTTCACCTGTTGACTAGATAGTGGATGAGCTCTCCTGTTGACTAGCTAGTGGATGAGTTCACCTGTTGACTTGCTAGTGGATGAGTTCACCTGTTGACTAGATAGTGGATGAGTTCACCTGTTGACTAGATAGTGGATGAGTTCACCTGTTGACTTGCTAGTGGATGAGTTCACCTGTTGACTAGATAGTGGATGAGCTCTCCTGTTGACTTGCTAGTGGATGAGTTCACCTGTTGACTTGCTAGTGGATGAGTTCACCTGTTGACTAGATAGTGGATGAGCTCTCCTGTTGACTAGATAGTGGATCACCTGTTGACTAGATAGTGGATGAGTTCACCTGTTGACTAGCTAGTGGATGAGTTCACCTGTTGACTAGATAGTGGATGAGTTCACCTGTTGACTAGCTAGTGGATGAGTTCACCTGTTGACTAGATAGTGGATGAGCTCTCCTGTTGACTAGATAGTGGATGAGTTCACCTGTTGACTAGCTAGTGGATGAGTTCACCTGTTGACTAGATAGTGGATGAGTTCACCTGTTGACTAGATAGTGGATGAGTTCACCTGTTGACTAGCTAGTGGATGAGCTCACCTGTTGACTAGATAGTGGATGAGCTCTCCTGTTGACTAGATAGTGGATGAGTTCACCTGTTGACTTGCTAGTGGATGAGTTCACCTGTTGACTAGATAGTGGATGAGTTCACCTGTTGACTAGCTAGTGGATGAGTTCACCTGTTGACTTGCTAGTGGATGAGTTCACCTGTTGACTAGATAGTGGATGAGTTCACCTGTTGACTAGCTAGTGGATGAGTTCACTTGTTGACTAGATAGTGGATGAGCTCACCTGTTGACTAGATAGTGGATGAGCTCTCCTGTTGACTAGATAGTGGATGAGTTCACCTGTTGACTAGCTAGTGGATGAGTTCACCTGTTGACTAGATAGTGGATGAGCTCTCCTGTTGACTTGCTAGTGGATGAGTTCACCTGTTGACTAGCTAGTGGATGAGCTCACCTGTTGACTAGATAGTGGATGAGTTCAAATGTTGACTAGCTAGTGGATGAGTTCACCTGTTGACTAGATAGTGGATGAGTTCACCTGTTGACTAGCTAGTGGATGAGTTCACCTGTTGACTAGATAGTGGATGAGCTCTCCTGTTGACTAGATAGTGGATGAGTTCACCTGTTGACTAGCTAGTGGATGAGTTCACCTGTTGACTAGATAGTGGATGAGCTCTCCTGTTGACTAGATAGTGGATGAGTTCACCTGTTGACTAGCTAGTGGATGAGCTCTCCTATTGACTAGGTAGTGGATGAGTGTTTACTGCTGCTCCTCCAGTAGGATCATCTGTCTGTTGACTGTGTGGTGGGTTAGGGTTGGGGTGAGTGTGAGACGGAGCCGCTGAAGTGCACTAATAATCTCTGGCTGTCCCTCTAGGCTGTTCTTCAGACGACACTACGCCGTCAGCAGTGTGATATTCTGCGCTGTGGACCCGCAGGACAGGAGGTGAGCGCTGCTGTTCCTCTCTCAGTGTTCTGCTGCTCTGCTGTGATGCTCATGATCCTCCGTCTTTCTTTCACAGGTGGAGA